AAAAACTAAAGTGCTGCGTTTGCTCATTATACTGTATACACGTGTGGTTGTCTCCATCATTATATGTCAATCTGCTGTAATGCTGTGAGAGTCCAATAACCAGATTAAAGGCCAGAGTGCCCTTCAAATCACAGTCCCTTCTTGTTCATGAAGACTGCGATTTACCGAGGGAGTGGGTGGTCTGGAGGAGGCTGCTCAATGTTCAGATCTTGAGCCGATAATGGTGTAGCTGAGGTTTCATGTGGATCTCAGCTCTGGATCCTGGTCATTAATCTGCACACATACTGCTGCCACGACAGCCATGCACCCACTCAGTGTTAACAAGCAAAGGATACTGTGGAAAACACAACATGAGGCTCTTATACTGTCATCATATTCCCCTTTATCAGCAACTGACAGACAGCGGTCCGACTGGGAAAGCAAATTGAGAGGAAAGCCCAAGATATTAGCAACAAATCGTACTTGTGAACCAAATACATACAGTATGTAGAGCTTTGTAAACTACATACATTATTACCTAAACTTAGACTCGAATGTTTATATTTTAGGATATCAATATAATTAACATTGTAATACCCCGATATGTTTTAAAATGGAAATACAATGTAATCGAGAGTTCTAGAGCAGCATTCACTGTTTAACTGCCAAATTTAAGATGTTTGGGTTATGTTTCATTTGTGTAATTAATGTGGCTATTGGAACAGAATACAAAGAAGCATAAAGTTCAATGTCTTCTTTGCCAGAGAAAAATGTTAAATGATCTTCTCACAATTATTTAATTGCTCAAAACTTGAAGAGTGATGCCGGTTAAACATTTGTCACAACAAGTTTGCCCAAAGGCAGACCGACTGAAGATGGGGGGCTGCACCAATGATGACTCATGTTTCAAATTCAGAATATGTTGCATGTTATGGTGCATTTCTAAGCTGCCTAGAATTTTTGAGAGTAATATGCTCATCAAACATGTATGACTTTACTTTGAAGAGGTTAAATTAAAGCGGTAGATAAACCCGAGATCCAGACTGGAAGACTAGAATCTGTGGTTCTTACACACCTTCACTCTAAATCCTCCTCTTGCCACACACCTGCGACTCTGCTTATCAGAAATCTACTTCAGAGGATGCATTTACACACCCCAGCTGCAATCAGCCTGGATTCAAACCGTTTCTTCACAGCTTTCTGCTTGTGCCACAACTCTCCTCCTATCTCCACCTCAACAGTGGGACTTATTTTCAGATCATCTACAAGGCACTTCAGGATCCACCTCCAGTTTTAGATCCTGGGGTAATTTACGTTTCAAATTCATGTTATTTTCCAGAGTTCCATGAACCCGCATCTGTCATTAAATATATTTATCATTCTTTACCATTCCCTATGTTTGCTGTAACTCAAACATAATTCTAATACATTCTGTATCCCTATAGAGCCCTCTGAGTCAGTCTTTGGAATGAAGTCTGATTGGCTGAGTGAGGCCTAAACGCCCTTGCAGAGTGATGTTAGAGCACAATAACAGATAGTTCTAACATTGGAGTACCCCAGCGGTTTTTCTTTATAGAAACCATACCAGCACCCTTCAAACCAAGGGGGTGATTTTTCCAGGGCCAGAAATGTGTTCAGGAGTGTTTAGTGATAATTTCATCTTATTCCTACTTCAATAATTGCACATACATATTCAATAACTTTCAAAGCTTTTGTACTCGACTGTAAAAGGTTGTTATATTCAATCCTGTCAGTACATTGACGTTAGGTGTGAAAACAAATCTGTTAATTGGAAAAGCCCGATTTAGAAACTGAACAGAGATGTGAAAAAAAGTATGATGAGTAGTATGATGTGAGAATGCAAAACAGAGTGAGTAAAGATGGCAAGGCAAGGCAAGGCAAGTTTATTTGTATAGCACAATTCATACACAAGGCAACTCAAAGTGCTGAACAAGATAGCATTAAAATCATAAATAATCACAGAACATTAAAAAGAAAGATAAAAATATAAAATCCCTCAGTTGTATGCACAGCTAAACAAGATAATACACTTATTCAAAAACCTTTCCTTCAACTTCCTCCAGTCAAAGTAAAGATACATCATTCGTCATTACACCATCACACATCCATTATCTGTCCTGTCTAAATGTACAAGCTCCAGGCCAGCACTAAAAAGAGTGCTAAAATTCTGCCTTCAAGTGTAACCCTCACAGTTTGGAAGCAGAAAGCCTCATTGCTCTCTGAGGTCGCTTTGGGTTAGAAACAACCAAACAACAACCTCGCAGTCTTGTTTTGTAAGTGTAGGAACAAACATCATTAGAGTGAAATGTGGTACTTTGTGGCATAAAAGGAATGGTCCATATTCTTCACTTGACTTGGATGGAAGCATTAGTCAAACGGTTTTACAAGAAGGCGGAGTGGAATGACAATAAAAGGTAGTTTTTTTGTACATGGTTACCAGGAGAGTTTACCAGGAGTTTTTTTGTACATGGTTACCAGGAGAGGGGCGACAGTAGCTCAGTTGGTAGAGCATTGGCCTTAAGGCCAGAAGGTCGTGGGTTCAATTCCCACCTCTGCACCTTCTCCACCGACTCCCACTGATGACTGCTGTCGTTGTGTCCTTGGGCAAGACACTTAACCCCACTTTGCCCAAAGCCCCCACTGAAAGATCAAGGCTATGCTCTCACTCAGAGAGCAGCCGTCCTCCTGTGGACTCACCACCTGCAGAGGGTCAGTGAGGGGCTGGTGCTATGAGACTTGGGTGGCAGCTCTGATTGCCACCCCCCTGACCCAGAAATGGATTAAAGGGAAGAAAATGGATGGATGGATGGTTACCAGGAGAATAAGATGGAGATGACTCATGAATGCTGCAAAGAACTAGAGTAGACGGCAATAACTATTTTCAAAGCACAGTCACACATGTCAGCAGGCACATCATTCTGAGACAAAGGTTGTCACCTTAGTTCGATTTTGTGCCAATCTCTTCTCATCATCTTAAAGATTGTTTGCTTTGTCTTTTGTGCCTTGAGAACCACTGCACACGCAGACAGCTGACTCACAGCTGAAGCTCCTCATCTCACTCTGCTCTGAACCGGAACTCTCCATTTAAAATGCCATACAGGCTGTTTTGTTGGAGGGTCACTAAAGGCAACTTTAGACAAGATTGAATAAAAATATTGCTAACATATTTTTTAAAAGAATCCTAAAAGAGTCTTTCTTTTCAAAACCATTTTGTAGGAACTAGTCTGCGGGTGTACTTACTCTGTAAATATAATGTCTCACTTTTCATTCTCAGTAAGTTACACTACACCAGAAAGGCTGCAGTACGCCTCAATTCAGTTCATTTATCACAGCTGAAGAGCCTGCTGCTATCTCAACAGAACAATATCTGCAGTGCAGTAGACCAATAAATAGTTATCTGATGTGAGAGCTGTCCATTACATCACATTTTAGAGCCACAAATAGTCTCACCTCAGCCAAAAGCTTCAATGAAAAATGCTGACTCAGACTTTGTTATGTTAAGTCATGGTCTATCCAATCCTGTGTCCAGTGTTATTAGAGCACTCAATAAATGCATTTCACTTTGTAAGTTTGATTGCACTCTAACTTGGCTAATGTAACAAAAATAAAACTTCTTGTGACTATTAGGAAGAGTGATTAGGGGTGGCATCTCTGATTGCCACCCCCCTGACCCAGAAATGGATTAAAGGGTAGAAAATGGATGGATGGATGGAACTCTTCCTAATAGAACGCTTCCATCATTAGCTATTCTGTTGGGATTTGTACAATGGAGATATTCAATTGTAATACATTGCAGACAACCTCACACTTTTTCCAGCAGTTATTATTTTGTATTCATTATTTATTTTGACAGTTCCTATCAACCTAATTTGTTTCAGAGCAGAGCGAGTAGTGGTGAGACAGGTATAGGTTCAGGCATGTGTCTTGTCTCATACCATTAGTGCTCTTGTCATGTATTGTATAACTGTATGTACTGCACATTATTATACTACAGTGAGCTTGTCTGAATTGCACTGAATGCTGTTGTTATTCAATCAGCTTTAGTTATGTGCTGATTGAACGAGGGGATTTGGGTAATAAAAGTGTTTGCTTCATCCAACTCCTCTGCAAATCTTTGTGTCTGTATTTGTGTCTGTTATGATTGTGAGAATGTGTGCAGGTTTTAAATAAATCATCTAATTTAATCAATTTTTTAATCCCATCCCCAGTGTAAATTTAACTTTTTCCCCAATTCAGATAATAATAGTGGAATCAATATGACTGCTTGATGCTTAATCAGGATTTATCTTTATTTTTTTGTCAACTGTCCGCCAATGTAGTTGGTGCATTGCTATTCACCTCTTGTCCATACGTGTCATGAATGCTCTTATGGGACTCGAAAAATTGGACTCCCTGGACCTAATGGCTAGTTATCAGTCAGAAACCCTGGACTCACTGGACCTAAGGACTGGTCCCAAGCCTGCTGTGGGGAAATGGTGGTTCTGTGATGCCCCTCAAGAGAACAGCTGTTGTGATTTCGGGGCAATACAAAAACATTTGATTTTGATATGATCTGAAAAATGTTCCTAAAGAAGGCCAAGTGACATGTGCATTCCATTAATCCAAGTTTTGGATGTTCTGTTCAACATATTACATGGGTAAACAATTGTTCAGCCGTTTGAGCAGTTTGGCTCTAACCAACATTTTACCCACAGCCTACAATCAATAATGCAAAGACTTGTATCAGCAGCATGGGTCAGTAGTGTGTTCACTCAGGATCCGAGAATGCTGTGGCTTTATGACATCATTTGCATCACACTGCTATAAAAGAACTGCTTGGTGTAATTACATAAGAGTGATTTTGAGGTTAGATCCAGAACATGCTGGTGGGACTGGGGCTGCTGTTGCTGCCCATAGTACATCACTGCTGTGTGGCCTAGCTGCACGTGCGCACCAGTCACTATATAAGTGTACAATTTATTTATATATGTCCAGTGCAGATTTGACAGATGGATACTCACATTCCAGGTGCTTCTTCTTTGGGGGCGTCTGCTCGTGTGTTGTGGCTTTACACACTGCTTTGCACACCTCGGAGCCGGTCAGCGTGTACTGCGCTGCGGCGATGCGGTCCGTGAGCGTTTGACCCGACATCTTCTCCTAGTCCAACCCGAGTCAGCCAAGCGTCCAATGTGGTCCTACCCCCCCAAGACCGAGCGAGTTTCCGTAATCCCAGCTGCCTTTTAAAATAGCACACATACACAATACTAGAGCGCGTTCAGCTCAAATGCGTTCGAAGTATTTCCACCCCCATAACGCGTTGTAAATGAATGCATATCCTGGCGACAAATCAAGAATTCTACACGAATGATTCCCCAGTATTTCCTTTAATGTCCTTACTGTTCGCTCTACAGTGGGCCAGCCTCAGAGGTGATGCTGTAGTCCTGCTCCCCCTCCTTCCTTCCTCCAGCCCCCGGATTATCCTCCTGCAGAGAGCTACGGACCAAGGACCGTCTCTTCCCCCATCCACAGCCTCACTCTCCGGGGACGTGTGCTCTCTGCTGCAGAGGTTCCGTATCCCGGTGTCGCTCGCACCAAACTGGGTCGATGGGTGGAGTGTTTTTTTTTTTTTTTTCAAAAGGTACGATACATGTCGTTTATTCCATGACTTGATAATTTATTTATTTATATTGTCATCAGACTCCGCCTTCCGCCTGAGTCAGCCGACGCTTCGCTACCAACTGCGCGAGCGCATTTATATCGCGAGAACTGGTTCAAACGAGAACAGAGCCATGGAAGTAAAGGGTTAAATTAAAAGCTTCTCTATGGCCTAGCTTGATGCTGTCATGCTGCTGCCATACTATGAAGGTCATATAAAGCATTCAGTTTCCACAGACTCTGCCTCTGTCCATGGTGCTGCAGTGTCCTATTATAATATATTTATAGCTGGAATTAGATTAGTGTGAGGTAATAATTTAGATTATAGCAGAAAATTGCCCATCCTATTATCTGCTGGTCTCAAATAGAATTCAAGATCATCATGCAAAATCAAATGGATTGAAGCCGTGTGTGACTCTTGATAAAAATCTTTATTAAACATTGATATGGAATGGCGCGCTTCTTTACATTGTCCTGAAGGACATCAATGAAATATTTAAAGTTAAAAGTCTTCCAAGCTCTTTCCCATATATACAAATAATTAAAACAATGGCTTTGGAAAGTAAAATTATAATAAATACAAAACATGTACAAATGTTTCCCCCTATAATCCATTTTTATATACAAGTTGAGGTTTGTCACTAGTATTGATCTGTTTTATGTTTTGATAAGGCCCTCAAGAAAGTCCTTCTCCACCATCTCCTCGATGTTCTGTCTTGCCCTGCTCCAAAATACTTTTTGACTCTCCAACTTGTGGCTCTCCTTATTTCCAGGAAATGAGCCATTCGTGGGGTTATGGCTGAAGGCGGGGCCCAATCTACTGCTGCATTTGCTGTTGAAAACTTGACTGAGCAGGTTGAAGAAGGGTAGAAGCTGTTCCAGGTTCCGGATCACATAAAGAGTCAACATAAGATGACCAGGTTCCCAGGACAAGGTGCGAGTGGAGCAGTCCTCCTCTGGATTTTTCTACAGGAGACAAATATTATAGCTATTTAGTCCTATGCATTTCTCTGTAGTATCAAACATGGATTCAAATGATATACCCATACCATGTATATTATACACATGTCATCTGAAAGACCACTTTCCAATTATCCCTGTATAAATATTTTTGGAATATATGACCCAATTGTTTTGTTTTCATGACTGAATACTTTAGTACATTTACATGCAGCCCACACAATCTAAAAATATCTAGTTGGTCTGGTCCACAATATTAAAGCCATCTTTGAGTGACTGTATGGACTGAATTTATCAGAATTATTGTAATATAATTTAATTTAATCCAGATCTATAATTAGGTCTGAGTAAAGACAAACAATAAACAGAGTTTTGAAAGCAACACAATCGGTTTTCTGGACCTAAAGAGCCACCATCAGTGCTCTGTTTGGGTTCGAACTCTCATATTTTTATTGTCAGGCACACATTGATAAATGGAATTGACCATAGTTGTTCAAACAGGCCCTTATAGGCCAATTGTGGCGCCTCATGTGCTCTATGTTCTCCCCACTTCTTATATGATCCTATCAGTAGGCTTATTCTCACACATGTGCATTTGTTTACTTCATGCGGTTCGATTATGACATTAATCCTTTAGTGAATCTTGAAGAAAGCATTTGTTTTTTTCTGGTCTAAATTCACCCTGTATTTCTCCCTGCCTATATTTTTGTTTGTTTACCGGTAATAGCTGGACGGAGACAGCAGAACATTACCTTAGCTCTCTTCCTTAAAAGTTTAGCCAACCGAACCACATGTGGCTTAAACTCTCTCTGATGAGTCCCTTGACGTCTTCCTTCCAACCCTGAATCATCTGACGCCTCCGGGATAAAGGCCCAGCGATACCTGTAATTAAAAATAACAAATTATCACAACATACACAAACCATGTAAAACAAAACAATATTCTGCCATTGAAGTTAATATACTGACATCTGAAACTGTGGGAGACTCTCTGGAGGAAGGGTCAGGGCTAGGTCCAGGAGCTTGCATGCAGAAAGATAAAGGTTGAGCCAGCGCTGGCTATTGTAGGATGTAGAGAAACCATTTCCTCCCGAGTAAGTGGCCTCCAGTCCTGCCACAGAGGGACCAGAAGTCCTACACAATAATAACAAAATAGAGAACATGAATCATTAGTATTATTCACTGATAAACACAAAAACAAAAATACAATATTGTGCACCTTGATATATCTTCATCTGCTGTTAGCTCTTGCTCCATCAAGAGAAAAACTTGAACCTGAAAGAAAAGTTGCAATAAATACAAGAATACAAAACAACATACAAACAACAATACAATAAAAGAATAAACACAAAAATGATTGAACTTTATTCATAGGACTAACCAGTTCAGTGATCATCGTTGGCCAGAGAGACGTGAGGTGTTGAGGAGACATGCGCAGTAGAAGCACTCGAAAGAACAAAAACACCTGAGCATGAAGGATGGGTACCTGAGGAAGACGCAGACTCTCCACCAGACGCTCTGAAATCACACAACCACAGAAAAAACCTTTATATTTATGTCATACATGTTACTCAACTTGAATTGTTATTCATGAAACAGTGCCTTTCAAACTATTGTGAAAGGCACCATATTATAGAGCCTACAATCAAAAAAGTACTCTGATGACCTACAAGAGCATAGGGACCTTTAAGGGGACAATAAGAATACACGTTACCCTTACCTTACCTGATGACATTGACAACACCACTTGTGTTAAACTGCCTTGTCCCCACAGTTAGACAGGCTAGACCTGTAGAGTGGCAATTCATAGAAGTAGATCACACTGCCTTTTAACATGGCCTACTTTTCTGCTTTTAATTAGCATGGGAAGAATCTTGAGATTATGTGGTTGAGGAGCTCAGTGACACTGGAGTAGACAGTTCATTCAGTCCTCTGAAAGAATAGTCAATAATTATTTTAAAGACCAGTTTTCAATGGCTGGGAAGCACTTATACTCAGAATGGGTTCCTGTAAAGTCTGTAGAATCAACTTGTAGGACACAGGTCCGATAACTGCCCCATGGACACTTTGCTGGGGATGTGTCCCAGGCATGTGCCACCGGGAGGAGGCCCAGGGAAGACAACCAGGACCCAGGGGATATGTCTTTGGCCAGGGAATGGTTCTGGCTGAGACTCTGCGATGGTTGATATTGACCTTTTATTTTTTATTTTTGACTAAGCCTCCAAGCTCGTGCTTCATCAATATTTGAAAAAATAAAGTTCAGTTTTTACCAACTGAAAATTATGCACCTTGGATATCTGGGAGATACTTCTGATATTGGTCTACTTCACTGCTGTAGATGGTGAAGGCCAAACGTTTGAGCAGCATGGCTCTCTGCTCCAGCTCAGCATCTCTGTTTGTGAACAAACTCAAGGAGCTACTCTGAGCCACAGCCACTCGAGCTGCAGAGAAATACAGTAATAACATTAGTAATATAACAATCACAATTGATTACCATATTAGAATGAATCAATCTGTGGAACTTACTCATGAGGTCCCTAAATGTGGTCTTGTCATGAGTCATCAAGTGGTCAATAATAGCTCTCCAACTGAAAAATAAAATTAAAGGCTGTGAATAATGAATGCTCAAATTTGGAATAAAAAGTAACCTCGTAAATTGACTCACTGACTGACGCAAGAGGAATCCATCTGGAAGAAGGTATGGTCCATGAAAAGGTCAAAAGCCTCCTTCTTCCAGGCTCTGCGGGTGTACTGATACCCACTGAGGCTGCTCAACAGCTGGATGCAAGCCCTGTAGCTAGGGGCATTGTGAGCACTACCAAACACCACACAGAAAAATGTAAGCATACAATACAACTGACATAGAAACGGAAATGACCATCATAACAGTCCTACCTGTGGTTTCGGAGGTAGGGTACTACGTAGTGCATAATATTAACAAGCAGTGGGATTACCCTCTCCTTCTCATCACTGTAGAAAACCATGTCCAATAAATGAGCCAAAACCTAAAATCAAGGTATACGAGGTCAATGCTCGCACAGTAACATGACTGGACTCACACCCATGGTGTGTTTGTGCAGTCAAATTAACTACTCCAAAACATCTGTGTTGGAAACAGAAATAAAGGGGAATCTTGAAGCATTGAGCTTGTGCTTTCATTTACACCGTTCTGTCTGTCAGCAGTCTGTTATTTTACAAGTCTAAGGAGAGGATAATGGATAAACGTGCTTTTGTGTGATGGAGTATAATTTTTAAAACATGAAAGTAGATTTAGAACGGGCATCTAAGACAAGTAGAGCTTTATGTGTTTTACCTCGGCCAACAAAGTGAGTGCATGAACACTGTACACCGACGGAGTAAAGCTGGAGGCTTCCATCACAGTCAGCATTAAATCTAGAACACAAAGCAGTTTTGCAAAACGACAGCGTATGTGACTTCCACTTCCGTCAAAACAACAACAGATACAATAGCTATATTAGAGTCTAGGACTCTATACTATAACAACATTAGTGTGTCAGACAAGCTGTCACTGAGCAACTGACCTTCAACATCTGTTTCTAAATTGGTTCCATCCACAACAATCTGAGGAGATGGTTTCACCTCCAGGTTTCTTCTCAGCCATGTTGTTTGTTCCAGGGAGGACCCTGCAACGGTCCCGATGGCTTCTACTATTTTATGTGTCACATCCTAAATTGGTGGGACATTTTTTTGTAAACATGTACAAATGGGAATGTGTTAAGCAAAAATCACGATAAAAATACCTGCAGTTCCCTTTGGTCCTTTTTGCTTTCAAGGTTGGGATTCTTCAAAATAAACTCATTTAAAACTCTGGGATGAGGGAACAAAAGCACAAAATGATTTGATTATTGAGTCTAATTAGCACTGACATATTGACTCAATAAATGGTCTTCAGAGGCTTTATAGAGGACGTCAATACACAATAAACCAACCCCAGAATGAGAAACTGTCCAGGGGCAGGCAGGCCCAACTGCACCGAGTCCTTGAGCAGAGCCAGCAAAGAAGGCCAGCTGTCAACAAGGCTGGAAACTGGAATCCTGGTATAACACAGTAAATATGATTACACAACAATTTTACAAATATTAATTGTCATTGAGAATTAGTGACATACCTTTGCACATAAGCATAGAAAAACTGCAACATACAGACCTCCAGAGAAAGGTGTTTCTGTGGGTACAGAAGCAGAGATAATTCATCTAAAATCCATATGCATTTATAATTGATATGAACAATAAAGCAAACCTTGTCTTTTGCAATAGCAGGAGGCTGTTTCAAAACCTCTTTGACAGTCTGCATGACAGTTTCAGTCCTCATGGCACTCACTGAGCGAACCAACTCCACCAGGAGCAACTGTTCATCACTGGCTACAGGTATAACCTAAATAAGAAGCATTTTAGAATCACACAAAACCATGACAAAATTATCTTAACAAAGTTTGTGTAAGCTCTCAGTCGTACAGGGATTAGTCAAAACAAAGGAAGGTTGCTCACCCATCATCTGTACTTCAGTTAGCAGGTGACTGAAGTACAGATGATGGGTGAGCAACCTTCCCTTGTTTTAACAATGCAACATTATACAACACAAGGGCCATCTCACCTTATTTCTCGCAGGTGCCTTCACCTGCTTGCGTTCGTTCCAAACATAGGCTATTGCAGCCATAAAGTGAGCTCCATGGTTCATAGAAATTGGGCCCAAAAGTTCAAGTATTTGTTGACGAAGGTTCTTCAAAGAAAAGTTTATGAGTTTATGAAATCACATGTTTGATGGATCTCATATTGACAGTGCATTTATAATGGTACCTTGGTAGAGCCTAGATTGATGTTGGAAGTGGAGCAGGCAGAGGCAGTGGCAGGTTTGTCAGAGCAGTCTGCCTGGTGAAGCAGGCTCCACAGCAGAGTGACAGACGACATTATGGTGTGAAGAATGGACAGAATCCCTGAACGTGCCTCAGCCAAATGCTTCTGATCTACACTCACTTGCAACTGTGGAGAATAAGGCTTGAGTAATTGTGCAAACACTAGAGAACATAATTTGTTTCACAGTGCCCTCACCTGGTGGTATTGCGAACTCGGATCCAGCAGGCAGTAATGAATGATGGCAGTCACACCCTCCAGTACAGTTAGAATGAGATCAGGGGGGATGCACAAAGCCATCCACGGGGGTCTTCAGGGGCAATAAAATAAAAACAATTTAGGACAAATGAGCATAAACACACCCATGCAATGTTTCAAAACTAGTACTTTACAACCAAGACTGCCATCTAGTGTCCACTTTAAGTTGTTAATTGACTAGACCAAAAATATCTATCTACAATTAGATCAAAAGGACCAACCAAATAAATAAACAAGTGAGATGTGCAAAATACACTTGGAAAATACTGGTAGCATACAATGTAGTAAATAAGAAAAAAGTACCTGCTGTCACTGATTCCAGTCTCATAGCGGTACTGCTGCAGTAAGTTGTCCAGATTCCTACACAGTTGTAGAGTGACAGATGCCACGACCCTTCTCAGCACACGCCCCATGTACGGGAGTGTGGCCGTAATGAGGCCAATCCACTGGGGATGCATCTTACAGGAGTGATGCTGATGGAGGGCCCTGATGACCGCGCACAGAAACAAACCCTGCGCCGTGATTGGCTGTCCCGGCAGATACTGCAGTGATGTCATTGGTTGCTGAGGGTTGACATGCTCCACTTCTCCACCAAGAATTTCAAAACCAGTCCCAGAACCAGGACCAGCAACTCCTGTCCCTCCCCCAACCGGAACACCCTCTGCCCCCTCCTCAGTTGGCACCATCACTCTGTGCTCAAGGACAACAAGGCTTTGCAATAATCTTAACAACTGGGACTGGACTGCACTACAGCTATCTATCTGATCCTCAGAAAGGTTAATAATGCTGTCTTCTGATAACCCCTCTTCCACTGTTGCCATGTTGACTCCGGAAACTCTTTGCTCGTGCCATTTCTGTGCACTAAATATTGTGGACAGCAAGCAATGAAGCACCACTTTTTGAACTTTGCACTTAGAAAGGACATCACTGATAAAACTGGCATAGCCCTTAGCAGATCCTCCTGTGGCTTTAGCAAGCTCATTGAAAAGTAATGTCAGGACCTCAACACTGGTGAGCTGCATGGCTCGGTTTCCAGCCAAGTCTTGTGAACCAATAGCTACATGTGCCGAATAGTAACTTCTCAAAAAGTAGAGACACAAAGATATGATGATTTCCAAATACATTGCACTGCGAAAAGAATGGGAGTGTGAGTCTTGTGGGATGGGACAGTAAAAGTCTTTGCCCATTACTGAAATTCTATGGCGTGCAAGAAGATTCTGGAGCAGGGAGAGCTGAGGAGTGTAGGTGTTGTTGATGCTTGTTGTAGAGATTGCGCTTACAAATCCTGAAGGAGCTGCTCTAAGCATTGCAGCTATAGCTGACAGGGCATGGAGTGTGCGAGAGGAGTCATACATTTGTAAATACAGTAGAACGTGCTGGTACAGAGGATGGATGTTGAAGCGAGGTGGTGCAGCGGATGCCCTACGTCCTGGGACGGTGCCACCGCTCACAGGTCCAACGGATCCACCACTTGGGGAGCCCATGTCACTCTCAATCTCTGATACCTCCCCTTCTCCACAGCTGTACCAGTTTTCCAAATCCAGACTGTCCCCAAAGAAAATACTTTGTGGTCTTAGCTTGTCGTTTTGATTAGCAGCTTTCTTCTGTCTTTCTTCTTCCTTCCTTTTTGACTTTTTGATCTTGGGTTTAGCACCAGGAGATTTGTCGGCTAGTCTTTCCATAATCTTACCTTTTAAACTGAGCTGGGTGCTACTATGGCTGCGTTTACGCGTTTGAGGGTCATCTACATGCAAACTATGGTCAGGAGTGGCTGGATCTAAACTATCAGGTAATGTCACAATAGAAGGGGAAGAGCTGTGGCGAGTTATTCCTTCTTTGCGCTGGTCCTCTGAAGTTACCTCAACTGGTGGTACTGAGAGAAACTCTAGTGTTCCCTCAGCTAGCATTTCAGGTAAAGTCTGGTGACTAGATCCAAGAGAAGGGCCTTGATCAAGTTGAACTCCAGTGGAAGCATCAGAAGAGGTGCTCTCTGTATCCGTCTGTGGCCAGTTTTCATCTATATTGGATTCTTTTCCCTCATCTACTAAATGTAAAACTCTTTCGATGAGCTCTTGTATAACATTGGACACTGCAATTTCAATAGAATCGTCTGACATGTAATCGGATGAGCCAGTCTGCTGGTCAGAACCAGTGATATTGGTTCCTTCAGGGTCTTCAAAACTGCCGTTCTCAACTGTAGACGACTGTGATCCACTTGACTCAGAGCTCTGTGGCTCCCTCTGCTGCTCATTCATCTGGTAATCACAGGCCATTTGCAAATTCTCACTGCTCAAGCTCAGCAAAGATAGACTGTCACTCAAAGGATTAACTGTAAGGCAAAATGGCTCCATATCATTTAACGCTAGGCATTGTATTTCCTCTTGTGTCATTCTTCCCCCATGAGTCACATCTAAAAGACAAACATAATCAAACATAATAAAATATAAAAGCCCAAAAAAAACATTGCAGTTTTCACTTACTTTCTGAGAAGCCAGAGTCTCTATTGTATATGGTATCAGGAGTGTCCTGCTCCGCTGGGGGTGGACACACTCTGGCCCAATAGCGCTGGGCCTGCACTCTCTGAATGGACACTCGGTGGGTTTTTGGGTGCAGCAGAAGAAGCAGAAGTGGTTCTAAAACTCGGGCAATGTCATGTCGTTGAAGAACTTGATTTAGCCAAGCACGACCCACTGCACTAGTGCAGGGGTCCCAATAGCATAGACTGTCCATCATAATCAAGAGTGATCTAAACATGAAAAGGAAATAGAAACAATTGTAAGTGCCTCCATATAATTTTAATTTCACAACTTTTCCCATAGAAAACATACCTATCAAAAGTGCGATTAAAAGGAGAAGACTTGGTTGTGTTTAAATCTCTTGTTAAGTGCCAGAGAATGGAAAACTTTACGTGGGCTTCCAATCGTATGCTCTGTAATAAAAGTTTTTTTCTGGTCATTAATGCACAAGTGAAGATATTTAAATAAAACAGTGTATTTTACTGGACTACAGCTCAATCCTAAATCTTTTAATTTCTAGTTTATTCACAATCGTCTGCCTGACAGTGAGTAAAGACCTTATCTCGATGCATGAGCTGCTTGCTGATAACATCCTCGCAGATACTGGAGGATGGCACCAGGTTGTGGAGTTGATAGAAAAGTTCCACACTGCGTTGATGATGCTGAGGTGTTGCTTCACTCAGTTGCTCCCACAGAATTAAAGCCACACTCTGAAAGAGTAAAACAATAAGAATTGTTTCTTCTAAAATTCACAAAGAAGTTTGCAGTATCATGACTTACTTTAAAGAAGTTGGTCTTGTCTGCAATGTACTCGAGTATTCCCTGAGTGAGTGGAGGCCTAATGACTACAGCCACACGTCCTTGGCTTGGGCTCATGGTTTGGGTGGACTCAGAGCTGCAGCCTGACGCCACACTTTCAGCTGCCACCATGGCAACCGATTGTGTGAGCCCCACCAGGTCCATGAGTAATGAGATTGCTACACCTTGAAAGCAAAAATCTGTGGCCAAACAACAGGCATCCATCAGGTTCTGCAGCCAGATGGGGAGCCAACCTTTGTCATTGTCTGTGTCAAAAAGGAGGGGATTTAGCCTTACAAAATTATTTACAACATAATTACAGTAGTTCTGTATAGGCCTACTTACTAAGCTCATCTTGTGAGGCTGAGGGTTTCAGGTTGCCTTCTGCAATGTAAACAGGAAAACTAGAGCATTCCAAGAAAAGTTGGCAAGCTGCAGTAAATGCAGCAACAATTTCTTTTTGGGCTAATTCAGATTCAAATAGTTCTGTTTGTTGAACCCTCGATACAGAGCCTTCCACCTCCAGGGTTTCCATGTGCAGGGCCTCGACTCTCTCAAGAGCAGGAACAACGTACAGTGTGATGAGGCGCGAGAGGAACAGCTGGAAGTGCTCTAGGCAGCACTGCATGATAGGTTTGTCCAAAGGTTTGGTCTGAGAGAGGCCTGTGGAGCGTCCGCTGGGCTTTAAAGCAGGAGAGGCATTAGGTGTCCCCTCAGCCTCCTCTCCATCCCCCTGGTACTGGACAAAGTCTGTGAACCCACTCTCAGGGGAGCGGGCACTAGGGAGACTCTCACCTTCCTCAAATATGTCTGCCCTTGTGGGCAGTTCTAATGTTGAAGGAGGAGTCTGTGGAAAAGGAAATGTATGAGTCTTCATGAATGTACCCTCACAAAATGTTATGTTTGTATCAGTTCAATGAACTAAAGTGTACACAGGTGTTTTAAATATAACTAGGAAGTGTTTGAACATAAAACATTTAATCAAAAACCAAAAACAAAATAAACTAAACTCTCGACTTCAGTTACACCTCTTGGCATTTGGACTCAGATGGCATGTGAAAAGCCAATTTCTCTCTGTGCTCCTCTGGGTGTGGCTGGGACTGTTATGGGATCCCATAGATATGTACAGAGTGTTTCCACTCTGATGACTATGACGCTCCCAGGGGCCACAAAACCCTGTCTTCTCGTTTACCAAGCGCAAAGCCAGACTGGGCTCAGCTGTAGCTGAACCATCTTCTGTCTTTGTGTTCTTTCTGTCTGCCTTGTTCTCAAACACTTTTATCAAATGTTCCTCGGTGTGTATAGCTTTCAGGTTAGATATTACATTTTGGAACAGTTATACTGATTAAAGGGATCATGAATCTCTTAAAGCTGAAATCACTGAATCTCTTCATTCAAAACGGGCAACAATCAAATTTAAGAGAGCAGATTTTGGTGAAAAAAGCTTGTAATTTTCAACAATAGCACTACAACAAAAGGGTAACAATTAAAATCTAGCAATGTCCCACAGGGTCCCACAGGGTTCTGTATTGGGACCTATACTTTTTTCTGTGTACATCAATGACTTGCCAAATGTTTGCCAAAATGTTCATATTCAAATGTATGCAGATGATTGTGTAATTTTTACTCCTGCTAAAACAACTGCGGAGGCATCATCTACTCTCACAGCAGCCCTGGTAGAAATACAGCAGTGGCTCACCAGCTCATCTTTACTATTAAATAAAAAGAAAACCGTGTCAATGATGTTCTCAAAAAAATCTATTAAACTGGGTCGGTCCAAAGTGTTCCTTGGAGACACTGAGCTTGACCTTGTTGAGGAGTTTAAGTTTCTCGGGGTCACTCTGGATTCAACTCTCTCCTTTAAAAAACATATTAAACTCAAAGCTAATACAATAAAGTATAATTTACATAACTTCAAACAAATCAGGCCTTTTATGACAATAAATTCAGCAAAAATGTTCCTACACGCAATGATTTTCTCACACATAGATTATTGTATCACAACCTGGCCACTCACTGGACAAACACATATCAAATCCATAGAAACCCTCTTCAAAAAGTCCATTAAAATTCTGGATCAAAAGCCTTGGTCATATCATCACTGCAATATCCTGGAGAAACACAAAATGCTCAATTTTCAAAAACTTTATTAATTTTAAAAACTGTTGCCTTATTTACAAAGCACTTCATGGTCTTGCCCCGCCCCCACTCTCAAACTATATAAAAAGCTAGAGTAGTGACAGGTCTCCGCACCCGAGCGTCCTCCAGAGGAGATGTGGAGTAGGGATGTAAAAAACTATGAATTTTCATGACCGACCACCGAGCCTCATTAACCGGTTGAAACCGGTTAACCGCGTAGTTTAAAATAGTCCACGTTCTTTGAAATAACAGTCGGAACCCTGGTGGTGGGTTGCGGGATATCAAGGAGGGGCACACTGGGGCAATTTCAGTCCAGCAGGCTGGAGCCAATCATGGAGCAGCACAACAGAGGAAATCAGGTGTCAGGCTAGAAAAAGGTGCAAGTGTGTGGTTCATTAGGCTGCAAGAAATCATGGAGGAGCACACTGAAGCGCACGCTTACAAACCACTGGTAAGTGCTGACTACAAGTCCATCCATCCATCCATCCATTTTCTTCCGCTTCATCCGTTGCCGGGTCGCGGGGGCAGCAGTCTAAGCAGAGACGCCCAGACTTCCCTATCCACACACACCTCCTCCAGCTCGTCCGGGGGGACTCCAAGGCGTTCCCAGGCCATAGTCCCTCCAGCGTGTCCTGGGTCTTCCCCGGGGCCTCCTCCCGGTGGGACGTGCCCGGAACACCTCCCCAGGGAGGCGTCCAGGAGGCATCCGGAACAGATGCCCGAGCCACCTCAACTGGTTCCTCTCGACGTGGAGTAGCAGCGGCTCTACTCCGAGCTCCTCCCGTGTGACTGAGCTCCTCACCCTATCTCTAAGGGAGCGCCCAGCCACTCTGCGGAGGAAGCTCATTTCGACCGCTTGTATCCGCGATCTTGTTCTTTCGGTCATTACCCAAAGCTCATGACCATAGGTGAGGGAGGGAACGAAGATTGACCGGTAAATTGAGAGCTTTGCCTTTCGGCTCAGCTCCCTCTTCACCACAACGGTCCGATACAGCGACCGCATCACTGCGCACGCTGCACCGATCCGCCTGTCAATCTCACGCTCCATCCTTCCCTCACTCGTGAACAAGACCCCGAGATACTTGAACTCATCCACTTGAGGAAGGGCCTCTCCACCCACCTGAAGAGGGCAGGGCACCTTTTTCCGGTCGAGCACCATGGCCTCAGATTTGGAGGTGCTGATTCTCATCCCAGCCGCTTCACACTCGGCTGCAAACCGTCCCAGTGCATGTTGTAGGTCCTGGTTCGTTGGAGCCAACAGGACAACATCGTCTGCAAACAGCAGAGATGAAATCCTGTGGTCCCCGAACCGGACCCCCTCCGACCCTTGGCTGCGCCTAGAAATTCTGTCCATGAATACAGTGAACAGAACCGGTGACAAAGGGCAGCCCTGGCGGAGGCCAACGTGCACAGGGAACAGGTCTGACTTACTGCCGGCAATGCGCACGCAGCTCTGGCTCCGGTCATACAGGGACCGGACGGCCCTCAGCAGAGGACCCCGGACCCCGTACTCACGGAGGACCCCCCAAAGGGCACCCCGGGGAACACGGTCGAACGCCTTCTCCAAATCCACAAAGCACATGTGGACAGGTTGGGCGAACTCCCATGAACCCTCGAGTATCCGATGGAGAGTGTAGAGCTGGTCCAGTGTTCCACGGCCGGGACGAAAACCACACTGCTCCTCCTGAATCCGAGATTCGACCATCGGCCGTAACCTCCTCTCCAGTACCTTGGAGTAAACCTTACCAGGGAGGCTGAGGAGTGTGATCCCACGATAATTGGAACACACCCTCCGGTCCCCCTTCTTGTAGAGAGGAACCACCACCCTGGTCTGCCACTCCATTGGCACCGCCCCCGATCGCCACGCGATGTTGCAGAGACGTGTCAGCCAAGACAGTCCTACAACATCCAGAGACTTTAGATAGTCAGGACGGATCTCATCCACTCCCGGCGCCTTGCCACCAAGGAGGCTGCCAACCACCTTGGTGACCTCTGCCAGGGTGACAGAAGTATCCGCCCCAACATCCTCAGCCTCTGCCTCCGGAGCGGAGGACGTGACGGGGGGATTGAGGAGAACCTCGAAGTATTCCTTCCACCGTCCGACAATATCCCCGGTCGAGGTCAGCAGCTCACCCCCCGCACCGTACACGGTGTTGGCAAAGAACTGCTTCCCCCTCCTGAGGCGCCGGACAGTTTGCCAGAATCTCTTCGAGGCCGACCGATAGTCATGCTCCATGGACTCTCCGAACTCCTCCCAGTCCCGGGTTTTTGCCTCTGCAACGCCCGGGCCGCGGCACGCTTGGCCTGCCGGTACTGGACAGCTGCCTCAGGAGTCCCCCGAACCATCATGGCTCGATAGGACTCCTTCTTCAGCCTGACGGCATCCCTTACTTCGGGGGTTGCCGCCGGGACCAGCACCAGAGACCTTGCGACCACAGCTACGAGCCGCCGCATCGGCGATAGAGGAAGAGAACATGGTCCACTCAGACTCAATATCCCCCTCCTCCGCCGGGACCTGGGAGAAGCTCTCCCGGAGGTGTGAGTTGAAAGTCCGTCTGACAGGGGTCTCAGCGAGACGTTCCCAGCAAACCCTCACTACACGCTTGGGTCTGCCAGGTCTGACCGGCTTCCTCCCCTGCCAGCGGATCCAACTCACGACCAGGTGGTGATCGGTTGACAGCTCTGCCCCTCTCTTTACCCGAGTGTCCGAAACACGCGGTCGAAGGTCAGATGATACGACAACAAAGTTGATCATCGACCTCCGGCCTAGGGTGTCCTGGTGCCACGTGCACTGGTGGACACCCTTGTGCTCAAACATGGTGTTCGTGATGGACAAACCGTGACTAGCACAGAAGTCCAACAACTGAACACCACTCGGGTTCAGATCAGGGGGGCCGTTCTTCCCGATCACCCCTCTCCAAGTGTCACTGGCGCTTCCCACATGGGCGTTAAAGTCCCCCAGGAGAATGACGGAGTCTCCGGGCGGTGCACTGTCCAGTACCCCTCCCAAGGACTCCAAGAAGGCCGAGTACTCTGCACTGCTGTTAGGCCCGTAGGCCGTCACAACAGTGAGAGACTTGTCCCCCACCCGAAGGCGGAGGGACGCGACCCTCTCATTCACCGGGGAGAACTCCAACACGTGGCGGCTGAGATGGGGGGCAATGAGTATGGCCACCCCAGCTCGCCGCCTCTCCCCGCGAGATACACCAGAAAAGTGGAGCGTCCAACCCCTCTCAAGGAGTTGGGTTCCAGAGCCCAAGCTGTGTGTGGAGGTGAGGCCGACTATCTCTAGTCGGTACCTCTCGACCTCCCCCACAAGCTCGGGCTCCTTCCCCCCCAGTGAGGTGACGTTCCACGTCCCAAGGCTAGATGTTGGGTGTGCGGACTGGGTCGCCGAGGTCTCCGCCTTCGACTGCTGCCCAGTCCTCTCTGCACCGAGCCGCCACGGACCCCTCTGCGGGTGGTGGGCCCACAGGAGGGACTGCCCACGTCGTCCTTTCGGGCTGAGCCCGGCCGGGCCCCGTGGGCTAAGGCCCGGCCACCAGGCGCCCGCTTTCGGGCCCCGACCCCAGGCCTGGCTCCAGGGTGGGGCCCCGGCTGCGCCATGCCGGGCGACGTCACTTGTTCTTTTTTTGTGCGATCCATGACGGGTTGTGGACTGCGCTTCGTCTGACTCGTCACCTGAGACCTGTCTGCCATGGGAGACCCTACCAGGGGCATGAAGCCCCAGACAGCATAGCTCCCAGGATCACCCGAGTCTACAAGTCATGACTTCAAATTGTTATATAGAATGATTACAAATTATTTGTTGTTTGTGCAGCTTAGTCAAGAGTCCCTAATTGATGAAGTCGACTCAGATTCTGACGATTTAACTGTCAAGAAGAAACCTGTAAAAAAGTATGGAAAAAGAAAAATCAAAAACACTTTTCTTCAAGACTCGGAAAGTGACGAACCAAAGGCAAATAAGATTGTTATCATGCAGCTGCAAAAGAAGAAAAATGGGGGGCGAGTTTATAGCAAGAGACACTTCTGCCTCTACTGTTCAATGTCCTGCCACAAAATGTCCCGTCATTTGACTAGAAAACATGGAAATGAAAGTGACGTAGCCAGAGCATTGGCTCTACCTGTGAAATCTAAAGCACGTAAACTTCAGTTTGATTTGATCAGGAATAGTGGAAACCGTGAGCACAATTTTGAGGTTTTAAAGGCCGGCATTGGAACTTTAGTCCCAGCTAAACAGCCAAATTGCCCAGTTAAATCCAGTGAGTTTTTGCACTGTATAGACTGTGGGGCATTGCTTAAGCGAAAGTCGCTGTGGAGGCATGTGGCCAGGTGCCGGCTTTCACAGAAAGATGCCCAGGCTAAACCAGGTAGAAGTAGGGTCCAGTCCCTCTGCTCCCTAGCCCAGCCTGTACCGGAGGGCATCAGCAAAAAGCTGTGGTCTTTAATTTCGGCAATGCATCAGGATGAGGTCACGGGTGTTGTCAAAGCAGAAAAGGGGATTCTGAGACTCGGAGAGCACCTGTACTTAAAACACGGGCATGATAAGACTAAGCATGATTACATTAGGCAGAAAATGAGAGAAGTCGGTAGGTTAATTAACGAAGCAAAAACTGCAGGGAAACTGAAAACAATTAAGGATTTCTTTATTCCTTCCAACTTTAACCATGTGATTGATGCAGTCAGGTCTGTGGCTGGATATGATGAGGAAACAAATCAATACAAGACTCCATCCTTGGCCCTCAAACTCGGCCATAGCCTCAGAAAGCTAGCAGATATTCTTGAATGTGACTCAAAAATGGAGCATTGTGTTGATGAACTATTTATTAAAAACCTCCAACGAAGCCGGCTGCTTTTTGAGAAGAGGTGGGACGTCTGTGTTTCTTCTGCTGCCCTACAGACCCTCCGGCAAGCCAAGTGGAACACTCCGGACCTGCTCCCTCTGACTGAGGACGTTAGAGCCATGCATGCACATATTGAGGTATGTCGACCTGAATATGTGCAAACCCTAATAAGTGAGCCAACGTCTAAGCATTGGTCTAAACTGGCAGTTTTGACTCTTTGTGAGGTCATTATTTTCAATCGAAGAAGGGAAGGTGAGGTTTCAAAGATGCCACTGACAGCCTTTACCTTAAGAAGTAAGACTGGGATCCATTCTGACATTGCTCTGGGACTGTCCCAACTTGAGAAAAAGCTGTGTCAGCATTTTCAACGCATTGAAATTAAAGGGAAAAGAAGTGGGAAAGTGGTGGTTCTTTTGACTCCTGAAATGATTGCTTCGATGGAGGTGCTGGTGGAGAACAGAAGGGCCTGTTCCATCTCTGACCATAACCCATACTTCTTTTCCCGCCCGGGCGCAGACACCCACATCAGGGGATCAGACTCCCTACGCCAGGTAGCCAAAGAATGTGGTGCGGTGCATCCAGAGATGCTATCCTCAACCAAACTTAGAAAGCACATAGCTACTATGTCTACAGTTCTCAATATGAAAGAGAATGAGATGGACATACTTGCCAACTTCCTCGGCCATGACATTCGCATCCACAGGCAATATTACAGACTACCAGAGGGGACACTGGAGCTGGCCAAAATCAGCAAAGTGTTGATGGCCATGGAGCAGGGAAGAGTGACGGAATTCGAAGGAAAGAGCCTCGACCAGATACAAATTGAGCCTGAAGGTAATTCTTGATATTATTAAAATATGTATGATTTTTTTCCCCTAAAGGCCACTTGTATTTTTATTTTCTGTGCGACAGGGAGAGCAGTAGAGATCCTCTCACAAACGGACGGGCTAAAAGAAACTTCAAGCGGAGAACCTTCAACCATTCATCCAGATGCACCCCATGGTAGTGGCAGTGCCCCTTCTGGTAAGTGTACCAGGTGGGGGATTACAGCCAGGCTGCTTGGTCCTAACCCTGGGAGTGTATATTGCTAATATATTTTTATTTCTCTCCCTAGAACGTGTAAGAAAGCCATGGTCTGCATCTGAGGTGAAGGCTGTGGAGAAGACCATGACACCTTTCATACAGACTGGAAAGGTCCCTGGGAAGTCTCACTGCCTGGCCTGCATTAATGCCTCACCAGATGACCTTAGACATCGGACATGGAGTGGCATTAAATTCTATGTCAAAAATAGAATCACTGCAATTCGGAAAAAAAATCTAAAATAAAATTCCTTTAAAATAGTTGTTTGGTTTCTATTGACTGTTTTGTATTACTTAAAGTAGTCCCAGTAAAAAAAAGATTATGTCTATGGGTCCCATTCTGAAGGGACCCACCAGGTAACAAAAACGTGTATGTGTATGTGTATGTGTGTGTGTGTGTGTGTGTGTGTGTGTGTGTGTGTGTGTGTGTGTGTGTGTGTGTGTGTGTGTGTGTGTGTGTGTGTGTGTGTGTGTGTGTGTGTGTGTGTGTGTGTGTGTGTGTGTGTGTGCATATGTGGCTCGTGCGGCGTGAGAGTCGTCCCGGAGTTTATAATACATGGGCGCACACAGCTAGATACAGACCCGCTCGTCACACCGTGCAAATAGGGCTTAAAAGAGCGTTATTAAGAGACCTCCCCTCTCCCCTTTTTCTCTTTTTTAACCGACAGCTTTGACCGGTTAACGCTGTGACGGTCAACCACCGGTTAACCGGTCGCCGATTTACATCCCTAATGTGGAGATCCCACACAGAAAAACTACATTTGGACAAACTGTGCTGTCGGTCAGAGGAGGTCAGTCTTGGAACAACCTTCCTACAGACATAAGAGAATGCCCAACATATAGCTCTTTTAAAAATCAACTAAAACACCATTTTAAAGTAAATCAGTCCTGCACTCATTTTAACTAAATGTAATTTCTATAATTGTATATTGTCCTTTTGTATTATTATTGTTGTGTGACCTGCCTCGGGACTACGGATGTAAATTAGCAGTTTTGCTACAATCTGGCACATTTACAATTTGTGTACAACTTGTATATGATTGTTCATTAATGTTTGTTGTCCCGATCAAATAAATAAATAAATAAATAAATGTAATTAAGTAAAAACCCTTTATGCTCACCTGTCTGGCCTCCTTGTCTTTGGGCGTCTGCACTGCTGAATGCGACGGGGCAGTAGTGGGGTTTGAAATACCTGGAGCCTGAGAGCCTGGCGGTACCACCAGAGGGGACACCAGAGGAGGCTGAACTTTGCTCAGGATTTTGGAACAGAGACGAAGGCAGTGAGTGAGTTCTCCAAGGCCCAGAACCTGCAGGTGAGCGGTGAGAGCAGCCACCATTCGCAACAGCAGCTGAGGAAGATGCTCTGTCTGGATCTCTATGTATGTTTCCTGAGAAACGCAGTCACAAAAATGAAATGGTTCAAAATGCCATTAGGGGAAACACAGTGTCTGATGAATGCCACATAACTAGTTGTGTATTATGGTTCAAATCTGTGAAGCTGTCAAAATCCAAAATTATTTGATAATAATAAAAAAATATTATTTTCAAATAAATACACATATATAAGCCAAAACCTTAAAAGGATAAATAAAAAGTAATCGTAGTGCATTCAAGTTACATAGAAAAATGCATGCATTCTCAAACTGCATTTTTACAAGATCCACACCAAACAGCCAGTTAACAAACAGCATATCATGATAGCTTATCTTTATAATGATGAGTTGAGCAAAATAAAAACTAGCCTCAGGAATGTAGGTAGGAATTTGCAGAAATGTGATCATAGCCTGAGTGAAGCAGAGTGAGGTGGAAAGACAGGAAAGAACAGTACTTTACCTGGCAGATTACCCTCATGCTTCTAGTAGGCTTCAGGGAGAGAGAGCAGATAGTTTGAACAGACAGGAGCAAGCAGAGCACCAGCAAAACTGTGTTTGCCAAAACACTCAAAATATCTCTCATTCACAAACATAGCACATTGCTCTCTCTTCTACACACAAGCAAATTAAAAGGCATTTCCAAACTATTCTGATTGGAAATAAAATTTAAGCAGTGAATTGTACTGGGAAACAATTCAAAAAGGCTCATTTTAACGCATAAGGATTGCATAGAAAACACACAAATGTGACAGTCAGTATAACAAACAGAAGTAGTAATCAAAATTAAAAAGGAAATGGCAGATAAAAAAGGTAAGAAAATTAAGTTGAAAAGAAAGGGGTGAAAAACAATTACAGGGACACACAGTTTTGTTTTATGTAAACACCATTACATAAAGAAAAAAATCAATCAAGATTTAAACACTAAAAACATTCAATATAATATAAGTGAACAATTACGGGGAAATTGAAAGGTCTCACCAGTGAAACGATATCTAGAAGAAAATCAACAAGCTGACAGAACTCCACCAGAGAGAGTTCTGGACAGTCTATGGCCCCAGCGAGTACAGGGGCTCCGGTGTTCATTGACCTTCTGTAAAATTCATGTTTTTAGAGTCAGATGTAGAACAAATAGTTCTGTGCTGATCATTCTAACAAGAGAAGGATGACAGTACACACCTGCAGCATTCCTCAAACCAGCGAGAAATGTAATCCCACATGTAGTATGGTTCAAATGAGTTAAAAAGGAGATTTGCAGTTTTTATTAGCTCTGCAGTCTTTTTATTTTCTCGCAGTTTACTGAGGAAGACATTTGTGAATATAAAAATCATATTTGAATGGCACTATTTAAAGACTTTGCCTTGCACCAACCTGCTAAGGTGTGTGTGATCCTTGCTAAATGGATTTTGACTTTGGAGATCCAACTCTGTTTGACACTGTGTATATAAAGTACGAAATACCTCAATCAAAACATCTTCAAGGATTGCTGGACCTGTAAAATCACAGTAAAAGGCTAAATGTCAACAAAATGCCATCGTTTGATGTGCCAGTCTTTGAGCGCTTACCTAGCTCTGGTTTATCCAGTAAACTTATGAGAATGCGGAATGGCTTAAGGTCATGCATAAGGACGCTTTCCTCTTCACCCCCTCTGGCTTTGCCCTGCAATATGCCCACCATTGCCTATAAACAGACACAAAGGATGCATTCATGGTGTATAATAACAAAAACAAAGCAAGCAACTGTATTGACTTATGTCACATTCATCTAACTCCTATGTGCTTTACGCATGGCTTGCTACATAATCGGCCGAAGCCTGAACAGACAGTCCCTGTAGCACCAAACATCTCCCCATGGAGGGAGATGCAAAACTGCAGCAGACCAGATGGCACAAGGGCAACCCTAAAACAAAAACTTCAGTTCATTTCCATGCACTCCCAAGCCCTGGTGTACCAGAGCATAACATGCTGGCACAACCAGAGCAGAGTACAATGTTGAGCAGTTTTCAAAAGCCATGCTGCAGGGAATAGAGTAAAGAGCAGGACATATCTGGACCCACAAGAGAAGGTGGATCAAGAGATTAAGAGGAAAAGGTAGATATAGGCCAATAAAGCTCCTGAATCTAAAGCTTGGATAAACTCTAAATGCATAAAGAGTGGGAGGGAAAGAAAAACTTCATGACTAACTGTGGCAGTTAATCAGTGTCCTTGAAAACCCCCAAGCCTCACCTGGACCAACATATCTTTAGAGTAGTTGTTGAAGTAATGACTAGCGTGTTCTTCCGGTTTGCTTTGTCGTGTACTGCGGGGGCCTACAATCACCCCATTGTTGTCAAAGCCTTTAAAAAAATACACATGCAGGGTTATTGACAATAATTAAACTATTCCAAAACTATTCCCATGCTATGATCAACATGAATCTAAGAATACATCTAAAATGTAACCCCTATGAGGGAAATGCAAACACTTACCAGCAAGTTTTCCAAAATTGGAACGCAAGTAAACAAAAACATTTTTTAAGTGATTACAATGAAATAACCTGAATGTATGAAACTCTATATAATGCTCTTTTTAAAGGAAAACGTATATCAGAGATTCCAGGTTGCTTCTGTATCATCACCGTAACTTATGTCACAGTTTGGAAACTTAAGATTTTTTTCCCATTCTGTGAAACAGATTGTCAAAGATTTCAATACGTATGCTGTAAATGCCTTGGTGGATAAAGTGTACTTAAAACTAACGCTAAATGTCACTAGTTAATAATACTAGTCAACATGCATGACCTGAAGCAGGGTGCACACTTACACAGTCACTCCTGCCAAAGCCTTAAATAGCAATTCATATGGCTCACTTTTACAGTTTTGCGGTCAAAAGATGTATTTACGATCTGTCCCAAAGCTGTTGTTATAATCTATTCAATGGGATAGATCTGTATTTCATTAAAATAAACATATTACGTACTGCAGATTTATCATTATTATTTAAGTCTCTGATATACATTTCAATGTAAGTATAGTTAAGGTTCGCACCCAACAGCCAGGCGTAGAGTCTGCGGTTCAAAGACATGTCTCTTCTCAAAACCACATGCAAAGCTGCCGACAGGATTCGGATCATATCTGGCCGTGTTGCCTAACAACAAAAATATAGCATTTATGCAGACTAAATCCCATTTTTAAAAATCAAATCTTAAAGAATTAACCAGTAAGTCTGAAATGTAGTATGCAGAATTTAACATGCTTTCAGCAGCATGCTATAGGCGGCTATTCGAAATTTCCCCACTGTGGGACAAATAAAGGAATTCTTATCTTATTGGATACATGTGGCCCTCTGCCTTGTTAAACCAAAGTTATCATCAAAAGATAAATAAGAGAGATCATAAACACAACTTCACAGCATCAGCCAAGCCAACTTCAGCACATTATACAGAGCCAATTTAGGCATGTAATGGCTCATTGGTAAGCACAGAACCTTTTGAATCATTGTCTATACTAACATTTATATGTGATTAAAACATTTGCCATTCAACCTAATTCAGCTCTGTCAAACATGTATCAACAGATATCCAGTACTGTACATTAGTAAAAAGATCACATTAGTTTAACTTAAGAGTTTTAATTGGTTTAAACATAACAATTTATTCATGTCTTTATCACAGTTACTAGTTTGCTAAAATAAGCCCCACTATGTTGGAATTTCCAGTATTATAGCAAAAATCAAGTAAAGGTCATTGTACCTGACTCATATGAAAGGGAAAACAGAAGAGTATGAGGTCCAGTGTGCTCCTTTGGACCAGCACACTTGAGTCCTGAACAGAAGTACTGACTGCTTCCACCTGTCCACAAAATCAATGCACAATGGAGTGGGACTGTTTTGGACAGTACAGAACTTATTCATACATTCCCATTAGGCCATTATTATTACAGGATCATGGATGAGAAATAATCCTCTTGAACGTACCATCAGTTCAATGTCATTGCCCATGACATAGAGCTGGTCCTCCATTGAGAGCTTGCGGTGGAGATGAAGCAGAACAAAGGACACCCCAGGCAGACGTACAGCGGGGCTGGTCAGGATACTGCCCCACAAGGCACTGTAGAAGGCAGACTGCTCCACGGCAGCAGCCACTTTTTCCAACAGCGTATTGGTTCTATAATTGGAAAAAATGAGGCAGTAATAAATAAATTATAAAATGTTGGTAATATTATTGTGCTTTAGGATGAGGAGTATGGGTTTGTAAGTTACAATTAAAACAATTAACAATTAAAACAATTAAAAGTATGCAGCCTTTTCAGCTGCCATATCTTTTGCTTTAAAGGGCTGCTTTCATATTTTGGATGCATTCTATGATTTATTTTGTGAGATACATCTCATCGTATAGATAGGTAACGTTGTCAACCCATGGATAAGTATGGTGAACAAATGGGAAACCAGAAGTTAACATACACATGATTTACGATCTCACTGTCTGAAATAACCTCCTAACTTTGTAGAAAGAACAATAATTCAAAATAATTATCCTATACCATTATTGTGACTTTGAGCAAATACAAATAAGTTTGATAAAAATAACTGCATATAAACAGTTGAGGGGGAAAACATTATTTATACTGCATTTATGTAGCGTTTAAACTTTTAACAGCTTTTGATGAAAAAAAATCATAATTTTCTGACATACTGCATACCTGTCATAGTACTCAGACCCTTCCTCTAGGCCTGGAAGTACACCAGTCAGCAATCCCTGTAGGCCTGGTTTTAGAGTCTTTCCCAAGGGCAGATAATAGGTCTCATAGAGTCCAAGGAGCACAGGTTTTACAGACATAGCAGCATTGGACAGTAAAGGGAAGAGGCCAGCGCTGCAAACATTATAAAACAGAACATGTGTCAAACATGCTGCATTGCACTGTCCTCTAGTGGTCTGAAAAGGTGCTGCATACCTGTAAAGGAAGAGGTCTTTTGCTAGCCTCTTGGAACCGATAATTTTAAAGATTATCTCATAGGTTTCCAAAGCTTTTCGGTGGACCCCACTTGGAAGGGCAGGATGGAGACATTGGGCAAGTCTCTTGCCTATTGTCAGCTTTTTGGGCACCACTTGGTATTTTGCATTGTTCTGTAAAACCTGTGGAGAAAAAAATTATAACAATTTGGAAAAAGAGATCCTGTGTTATGATTCAAATATGAACAGTTCTAACCATATTTTTGCCTTACCTTGTTGAGCTTTCCCAGAGCCGAGATGAGGTCGGCCCATTCACTAGAATACTCAAAGTTCTTGAGGGCTTTGTCCACTGCGGCAACATAGTTCCTGTATTTGGAGTCACTGAGCAGCTCCACTTCCTCTGCATTCATCCTCCTGGGTTGTTGAGTGTTGTCAAACACTCACCACACATAGACGCATCACCTGTAAAAGATACAACTTATGAATGGTCATGGCCTATGCAAAATAATGATGATAATAATAATAATAATAATAATAACAATAATAATACTCAGACAAACGAACATGGTAAAACGAGTTAGACGATGGGATCAAAGCAATTTAACTTTTATTTCACACAACAATACACAACAAAACATGGATGCAGCTGTGTTACAAAAGAAAAACACAAACAAGACTAAACTAGAAACCCAAACACATGACGTCTTCCCTATATTTATCTGTTAGATATACATTTATATACATGTACAAGGTTAATCGTATCCTTTTATCTTGGGCTTTAGGACAGTTATGTTGTGGTCTGCGTATGTGAACAGGCGCTAAGCTAACGTGAATGATTACAAATGGTGATGAGCAACACGAGTAGTCACAGCTTACCGTAGTTGTATATTGTCCGATGACTGTTCCTGAACCATGAGTCCTTCCCAAATACAGCTGACAACACCAGGAAGAGCAGGGAAACAGGCTAACGCTAGTAGCAGGTGGTAGTTCAGTGATAACGATGGGGATACAGGGCCCGGCTGCTGTGGCGATGCCAGACGCTATTCAAGGTGTGTTTTCCAGCTACGAAATAAAAATCGAATTACAACAGCATTTTCTACATATTTGCTTTTCTCTCGTCACTTATGTCCTCAGTGAGTGGACATAAACAGAAGTAAGCTGGACAGGTCTCTTGGCAAAGGTTCAGTGCGGTAGGATAGACAGCTCCCAGACTGCACTGCAGAGGACGGGCCTACGGGCTCGCGCTTCCGCATCCGCGCTTCCGGTCAAGTCACAACATTTCTCCACATTTGTCTAGTTTATAACCATATTACTATAATTTGCCATGTGCAGTACCTGCCCGTTGAGTTTGTATATCTTTAATATATACTATAACCAGTAACTACATCAGGTAATTCATCAAAACGTATATTTTTGTTGAGCAGCAGTCCTGTCGAATGCTTTTAGTTTGAAATATTTTGTAGGAAATACTAATGCTAGTTGTAAAAACTTAACTCAACCGGTAGTCTGTAAAAGTCACGCTGCATCGTGCATCCTTTTCGGTAGTTGTTTCGTTCTCTTTGCGCACATTTTTAATTTTTACAGCAGCATAATTATACGTTATCAATGGCGTACATTGAGAGGCCAGTCAAGACAGCAGGAGCTGGGGTATTTCTAGAGCTTAGGAAAAGACTTCAGAGTGGTCTACTTATTGTAAGGTAAATATGATTTACTTGTAGCGGTATTGAATATATTAAATATATATATATTAAATATTAATAGGTGTTTTGCCCCTTTGTAATTAACCAAATAAAGACCGTGCATCAAAGTTCTTTTAATCCAAGATGCATTTTATTCTGTAATGTCAAATTATTCTAAGTACAATAGCAGCTGCTCCATTTGCAGAGAAATGTAGGCTAACCTACATTTAAATGGTACAATGGTCCTCACAAGTAAAATCTGAAGAAAATCATTTGCGTGTACCCCAAGAATGGGCATATTCACGTTTATGTTTGTTTATCAGTTGATCTCTGGTTGATCTTCGGTTATCAACCATTGATCTGGTTTCAAAAGTTATTCCATGAGCATGTACCTCTTTTTGTTCTGTAGAAAAGACCTGGTTCACAATTCTTCAGATGTCATTGTTACTGGAGGAGATTCCACTCTCTACGTCCGAGCACCTGAAGTCGCGCTAACCCTGGCACTACCAGCAGGGGTCGCCTTTGAGCCGGGATCTGTCGTACCAACATCAGCAGGAGAGCACAGTGAAGAGGAGCTGCACTTCAGGCTCCGCATTTCTGCCTCTCAGCACAAAGGTGAACATACTAAGCATCTAAACTTGTAAGCATCATAATTTAAATACATATTTAATACAAACCATAGAACTATAATTGATCCATGAGTAAAATTCAATTTGGGGGATAAACAGCTAGCATAAGCTCTGCACCAGGTTTACAATAATGAGATTATATGAGATATGAGACATGATACATTTCACAGTGCACTTTTATATCTCTTTTTTTGTGGTCATACTAAAAAATACAGCTTTTGGAACTTTTTCAAACGTCTTATAAAGACTCCTTAGAACCCAGTTTATTGGCTGACAAATTTGGATCTGAGATGCATCTTGATAACTCCACAAAAGTTTATATGTCTTATATTTGTTTCCCTCTGGCTCTCCACAGAAGCTTCTGACAAGGTGATGGAGACACTCCGGGCTAAAGAGACTTATTGCTTCCACTGCCAGAGCTGCATGAGCAGGCTGCTGGAGGACCGGTGAGGAGGAGATGGATGAGAGTGGCGCGATGGTTGAATGAAGGAGAAGCTAGTGTTTATTGATGCACAACGGCACAACTGATAGGCAGAAAGCTGACACGTGCAGGTTGATCTGAATCTTAGTGAGAGTTTCTATGGAGTTAAGTGCAATGTTAAGCTCTTCCATTAAAATATTAAAAATCCTTGTGCGTCATTGCTCAAAGTGATGGAATAATTTAAATGTTATTGTACTTGAATGTCACCAATGCAGATTCAGTATTTTTTCCCATAAGATATTAATTCATTTGTGCTTACTTTCTATCTTTAGGTTGTTCCAGCGAGTCCTTCCTCTTCCAAATGGAAACTGGAATGCTATTGTGGATGAATGGTGTTGTCATCCAGATCCCTTCGCTAACAAGAAGTTGCTGCCTCGGGCAGAGGACTGTTTACTTGGCGATACCTTTATACTTTTAGCCAGAGATGGGAGCTGTGAACACACCCTTACTGAGGAAATAGCTCCGGTTGGAACCAAAAACAGCCTGGATTCCAAGGTATGTCAACATATTTAACTATTTTTGGATATTGTGCAGCTATATTGTTAATCGGAAAAAGATACAATTTGAAGACACAATTAGCCTGGTCTTACCACACCATTGTAGTAATTTCATGTTGTACATTTGGGAAATAATAATTGACCGGAGTTTTTGAAAGGCTAAGGCCAGGCTAAGACAAAATGGGTTCAGATGTAAAAGTTTAGCTCCCCACATTTTTCAAAACCCTTCTAAGTGTCTTGAGTAAGTTGGACTGAAGCATTTTTGATAAGGATTGATTTATCTTCAATCAATCAATCAATCAAATTTTATTTATGAAGCGCTTTTCATACAAAAGATGCAACACAAAGTGCTTTACAGTTTGGTTAAAAACAATCCCGCCGGCCCATGTCCCCTCCCCCCGACCACCCAACAGACCCATCCCAAACCACAGACAAACACACACACGCTCCCATGCACACTCTCTGACACACACACACACACACACACACACACACACACTCACACACACACACACACACACACACACACACACACACACACACACACACACACACACACACACACACACACACACACAAGTAAAACGGTAAAACAATGATGAGAGACTTGGCAGGGTTCGGATGCAACCAGTTGAAAAAGCGTCATCCTAGGAGCCGTCTGCACCAGGAGCAGAGAGCCGCCCGTAGCCACAGGGGACGACACAGGATCTAGAGGAGACCCGAAAACCGAGGCTCCAGGCCCCCACCAGGTCCAAGAGTCCGACCCCCACAGCCATGCCGACCACCGCTCCCAGTGCAGAGGGCTCCTCCAGAGGAAACACTGGGTACACTAAAAACAATACAATAACAATACAATATGTAAAACACAAAAAATGTGAAACTAAAATGAACTAACACACAATACATGAATAAAAGCAATAGCAATACAATAAATAATAGAAGATAAATAGAATATATAAAATGAAATGGTAAAAACTAATCAAAAGCTAATCTAAAAAGGTGTGTCTTGAGCCTGCTTTTAAAAATATGAACGTTCTCTGCGGCCCTGAGCTCCTCCGGCAGACTGTTCCAGAGACGGGGGCCATAGTGCTGGAAAGATGCCTCACCGTGAGTGTGTGTCCTGACTTTGGGGATGGTTAGAAGTCTGCTGCCGGAGGAGCGCAGGGGCCGGGAAGGCTCATAGGATAAAAGCAAATCTGAAAGATAAGAAGGCCCAAGACCATTAAGACATTTAAAAACCATTAAAAGAACCTTAAAATCGATCCTGAAACACACGGGGAGCCAATGCAGCGATTTTAAAACCGGTGTAATGTGGTCCCGCCCCCTGGTCTTAGTCAGGACACGTGCGGCCGAGTTTTGGAGTAATTGTAAACCTGAAATGTTCTTTTTGGGAAGACCAGAGAGCAGGGCATTACAGTAGTCAATGCGACTGGTTATAAAAGCATGCATCAGCGTCTCCGTGTTGCTCCGAGAGAGAATGGGGCGGACTCTGGCGATGTTCTTTAGATGATAAAAACCTATTTTTGTGATGTTCTTGATGTGAGGAATAAAAGTCAGCTCAGAGTCAAAGATTACGCCCAGGTTTCTCACTTGTGATGATGGATTAAAAGAGTGTGATTGGAGTTTTGATAAAAGTTTCTCTCTTTGGGCCTCAGGACCGATGACTAAAACCTCAGTTTTGTCCTGGTTGAGCTGGAGAAAGTTTTCTGCCATCCAGGATTTCAGGTCTAAAATGCAGTTAAAAAGAGCATCCATTGGCCTGGTGTCGTCAGGAGACATGGAGATGTACAGCTGTGTATCATCTGCATAGCTGTGGAAGTTAATTCCATGTCTCCTGACGACACCGCCAAGAGGGAGCATGTACAGGTTAAAAAGGACTGGACCTAAAATGGAACCCTGGGGCACACCACATGTTATTTTATGGACCTGAGAGGAGCAGGTATCCAAACTTACCATGAAGGATCTGTCTGTTAAATAAGAAGTGAACCATTTGTGGACAGCACCAGAGAGGCCGAGGTGTTTCAGGCGGGATAAAAGAATGGTGTGGTCTACTGTATCAAAGGCAGCGCTTAGATCCAGTAGAACCAACACGGTCACCTTTTTAGAATCATAACTTAGTCTAAAATCATTTAAAATCTTTAAAAGAGCAGTCTCTGTGCTGTGGTTCACCCTAAAACCTGATTGAAATTTCTCTAACATTTGTTGCTGATCTAAGAAGGCATTGAGCTGGGTAAAAACAAGTTTTTCTAAAATTTTGCTTAAAAATGGTAAGTTGGATACCGGTCTGTAGTTGTTAAAATCATTAAAATCTAAATTGCTCTTCTTCAGAAGGGGTCTCACCACAGCCGCTTTGAATGCTGCAGGAAAGACCCCAGTCTGCAGAGAGCAATTCATCAGGTTTAAAAGCTCCTCTCTAAAAGCTCCCCATAAAATGACTTAAAAAATGGAGTGGGGACTGGATCTAAAAGACATGTGGTGGGCCTCACTGAGGAGAAAACTTTATCAAGCATCTCAGCATCAACCAGGACAAAACTGTCCAGTGTTTCCTTCTCTCTTCTCTCTATTAGTTATTCACTGCATGTGTGGTTCTCTTTTTATAACTGACACAGAGAATAAATGAGGACATGTGGACCAAATCTCTTTTTCTCTCTCTACCTGGTTATAGTGCCTATTGATTGTGGTTTTAAAAACAGCCATGCTAAAGACTGGTGCATACAGTGATTGGTATCTCTCTTTTAAATGGATAGAAACCATGCCGCAGACTGAAAGTCATCTCATGTAAGAGCTGTTCATCTGAACTGGGAGAAGCAGTAGCACCAGGTAACACTGTCTGTATGATGCCTTTTATAAGCTGCATATTGTCTCTAGATTGTGACTGATTGTGATTTTGTAATCTGTTAGAGACCCTAAAGCTCTACGTCACACAGGTGATTGTGGAACGAGCTGTTGGGGACAGAACGCCAGATTCACTTCACAGGTTTGTTCAGTGATTTAAAGGACGGCAAAAATAATTTTCTAACTTATACACAAAATATAACACTACATCCATAAAAAAACAATTATCCAAAAGATGTCACTAAAATATCAGTTAGCGTCCAGATTAGTAAAAACAATGAAACGTTGTGAGATTGTACTTTGTTTACTTGAATTAATTAAAACCAACAGGTTTTGATTGTTATTGTTAACGGTTTTAAAATAAGTAAGTAAGTAATCTATATTTATATACCGCCTCTCACAGACCAGTGTCACAAAGCAGTTTACAATTGTTATTTTTGGGCATTTGTCCTCTCACTCCACACAGAGGTGGGAGCGGGGTCGCGCATGTCAGATCTCTTCTACATGTTATTAGTGGTAGGGGAAACCAGAGGAAGCCTACGCAGACACGGGGAGAACATGCAAACTCCACTCAGAAAGGCCTTGTCCGATCGAAATTCGAACCCAGGACCTTCTTGCTGAGAGGCGAGAGTTTCATCCACTCAGCCACCGTAAAGGTGGCATTACAATGTGAATATACCTTTTATTATACTGTACCTTTGTTCCTCAGATCTCTTTTCTTGGAGAGAATAGTCGCAGACAGATTGCATGAGCTTTCAAACTCTCTGAGCACATTCCACTTTTCTGTTCAGACACCTGATGGAAAGGCATTTTTATTGGTAAGAGCATACCTTTTGTAGACATAAATGTGAAAAAAAAAATGTTTAGGTTAATAGATTGCTCATTGATGACCAACCATCATTGCTTACTTTGGTGTATGCATATTTCCTATTGTACATTGTTATTTTGGTATAATTGGCTTTTGAAAGAAGTCACTTGCTATTTATTTATGATCAAAATAAAACAGTGCCATGTTCTTATAGATATTTCAAACAAAAATAAACTGATTTACTCATTAGAGTGGGTTGAAATGTGGCACAGTCAATACAGCTACTACTGTATATGGTATAATTGAGGGAATATTTGAGGAAAAGTGTAAATCCTTTTGAATTTCTCTTGCACCTACATCAGGGGCATCTTTGGGAATGTTAACTTATTCCCACACATTTTGTGTGGGAATAAGTTATCATATTGATCTTCTTGGTTATGGCCATGTAGTTGACAGACTTATCAGCATTCTTCAGTCAGGGCTTATTTCCAATTGCAAGATAGTATAGCCTGATAATTTGAATTTTTAGAAGAAGCGTAAAAACACATGAAAATATGTACAAAGGAAACATATTTACAAAAGTCATCACCCACTGATGACGAAACAGCAAAATGAGGAGAACATTATTAATCTCATGTTTATTCTTTTTAGATTTGGCTTCTGAACAGTGACTCCATTGTAGCATCAGTCCCATGGTCACACATCAAAAGTGAGGGGTCGGACTCAGACCCTCTCAGTCCTCCTCTCAGCATCACAAGAGCCTTGAAACTGCTCTATATCTCCTGCTCTGACACTGGCATCCAGCAGAGAGAGTAAGCCTTAATGCTGCATCCTACATGCCCTCAATCTTTGTTTTGCTCTCCTTAATCTTCTCCTTTCATCTTGTCACGCATGCTCTCTATCATTACCTGTCTGCTGGTATTGTGCTCGTTGCACAAGTCTGAAAGACTTTGTTGCATTTCAGGCTTTAATGGAAGGGTTGCACAGGGTTTCTGGCTCAGAAATAATTGTCTTACATTTCTTATATCGAATCCCATCAAAGGTGTTTATTATCCTGGAGCTGTCAGTTGCATAAGCAAAGTCGGTATTTGTTGCACACTTAGGCAGTCTTGTTTATACTGGAGTTTAAGCCACATGTACCCCACTGTCATGCATTTGAGAGATGCAGAAGAAACCGCATGTGGTTCCTATCCCACTGGAAAGACCTTCCACTCTCATTATTCCTGTCGAAGTAACAGCTCAGCACTTTTTCCTCCTTTTTCTCTTTTTTTAATCCCACAGAGTCTGAGAGGACAATGGAGGATTTTGACCTCTTCTACAATTATAAGTAGGAAATCATTAGAAATGCATTGTATTACAACAATCAAAACATTATTAAATATGTCACAAGTATAAAAGTGGTCAAATGTACAGAACCTCAATGCTTTCTTGTTGCCAACATATTTATTGCGTAATTATGTATTACCGGTAATAGTATAAACTATAAGCTAGTTTAAGCTGACATATGATGCTCCAAGAGCATCATTAGAGTGGGTTGAAATGTGGCACAGTCAATACAGCTACTACTGTATATGGTATAATTGAGGGAATATTTGAGGAAAAGTGTAAATCCTTTTGAATTTCTCTTGCACCTACATCAGGGGTGTCGAACTCATTTTGGTCATGGGACAAATTGGAAAAAGCACAGTATAATTACTTTTCTTAACATGAATTTGGATAATATTATTGTTAAAGTGTGTTTCATTTTTATCCAAAACTGAACCATATTTTAGGCAATGTTTTGTTACAACATAAGATTTAAAATTAGGTATGACGTGCCATGGTATCTATAATAACATGGCTATATGTGACCATCCCAGACGATTGTAGAGTCATAGTAACTATGAGCAGAATATTGTACTGCCACTAATGGCGAATTCAGAAACTATCAACAGCAGGCGACTCTTCTTATTTTGTCTTCAGGACTATGGCTTTAATTCAATTGATTTAAGATAATAGTACAATAAAGCTGAGAAACAACAACATCTAAGATTTGCAAATAATACTATCTTACTCAAACTTCCAAAATTAATTTACACTTTGCTGAGTGGGCGAAGTGCTGATGCTGTCATTCATTTCCATGCAGCAGTGATTAAATTGAAACCGCATTTACTATAGAACAGACATGTTACGTGGGTGTGCATACTGAGAGAATATAATTACTTGTTTTAAAGGGCCTTGATAAATCACCTGAGGTGTATCTGATGTTAGAGGGAAATAATGAGGTTGAAGTGTAAACACAATGACAACGTTATGTACCCCCTAACTCACCATCTCCCCGCTCACATCAGAACCAAGTTATTTCATTTATGTACTGTAATGGTAATTCTTCTGACAAACATTTATGATTACATTTAGTGCACACATTCAACCCTCGAACCATGGATTCAAGAGCAACTCTTCCACCAGTACTATACTATCACTGCCAGAACACTGTAGTACTGGTTCAGCAGTGTATTGCGTATGATGTTCATTTGTATAAAAATCTATTTGACAAAATATATATTTTTATAAATGTGTGAAAGCTTGATTTTTCTTCTTCTTTAAAAAAAAAATATTAAATATGCCTCTGAAACTTTCAGACAGAAAACCATTGCACTGTGTATAGGCACATGACTAGTTAGCCTCCATTGTGCCGTTAAATTTATGACTTGAAACTCCATTGGCAATTAAAACAAAAAGGTCTTTTCACTAATGGTCAAAATCAGAATTCTTAAAACAACATACAACACAACATATATATCCTCTAACACTCCAGTTTTGTGGTGTTTACTGTCATTTTGGTCTCCTTTTAAATAGTGTTTTATTCATGTGTCCAGGATGTTGACTAACTGGGAGGCGAACTCAGTGGGACATGCACTTGTGCTCCCGGTGAAAGTGTGTGAAGAGCTGCAGCAAGTGATGGACGAGAGCAACGCCACACTGCCCCTGTCTCTGCGACGCATGCAGTCCTATCAGGTGAGCCAATGATACCGTTTATAGATACAGTGTGTGCATATATATTTATATATTTCAGTCTATTCATTTTAACGTTATACAAATAATTCCTTGTTGTAAAACAGGCAATCACTCTTATGATGCAACCCAAATACATTACTCAATCAATATTTGTTTTAAAGTGCTAAATGTTTGTTGTATAAATCATGCCAATTTAATTAATTTTGCGTCTCCCCATTGTGATGTAATTGTTTGGCCTCTTTTATCAACTTTTAACATATTATTTTCCACTGTTTTTGATAAAATGTTTCCTCATTGGTGAAAAAATATATAGCAATAATGATTACAGATCAGCATTTTGTCTAGTACCTTTTTCTACTGTTTTATATTTTGTTTAGGTCAGACTTTTTTGTAAGAGAGTAAAGACAACTTTAAGAATGGTTTCTATTTGAATAGATTGGGATAATTATTAGCTTTAAAATAATGTATGACACAATTTCCTTATCGATTTACATTTGTTTGTGCTGGAGTTGAATAAAAAATGATTTCTCTCACTAGCTACATTAGCACTAGGAAATCTAGATTGGCGGTCTTCATATTAAAATGCCATAATTATATACATGATTATGAATGAAAAACTTGTTGGATGGATCCAAATAATAGGCTTTATTTTTCAAATGAATAAAACGCCTAATTGTGAGTAATAATATGCAAGAAAGTATTGATCCCTACGCAGCGCACCTTTAGGCAGCTCTGTTTTAATCAATCAATCAATCAATCAATCAATCCTTTATTATCTCACACAGATGGAGAAATTCAGTTCGATGAATAAACATCAAGGCCGGCCGCGTACTCTAATTTTCCGCGCTCCTTATGACAGTTATTCAACAGCATAGAGCAAAACAGACACATATTTCAAGGAGACCCATAGATCACATAGATCTCCTTGTCTTCACCTTCTGTAGAATACTCCCATCAGCAGCTCAGTTGGGCTCCTTGCTGACACCAATCGCTTATTATGCTTATTATCACTGCCTTGTTTTCCCTGGTATTCAGCTGTGCTTGACAGCGTTTTCATCTTACTTTAGTTAATTTCATGTTTCAAAGCTTTCTGTTAACAGCTTTGCCTCCGGGATTATGTGGGTCAGATGAAAGGTTTCACTTCTGGCACCTCTCTGCTTCTTCTCAATAAACTTGCTGCTATTGTGTTAAATGTATATTTAGTCCAACTTGCCAAGGAAGAAAGCTTTTGACTAGAAAATAAGAGGTGTTCGCTGACGTGCATATTCTCAAAGCCGTTTTAAGCATAGTGATGGGGTAATTAGCATCATTGTTCTCTACTCGCTGTGCAAAGTTGAAGTGATTATTTATAACTTGCAGAAAGAAAGTGCAGTATAAGTAGTGGGAGAGTTCGGAAAATACAATGAAAAGCTTTGAAATATATTTTAACCTAAGTGGAAATTGTAGCATGAGGAGGTTTGTTTGATGAATCAACTTTTATAGTATTACTTGCCTACAGACTAGGTCTAAAGCTGCGGAGACACAGCCAGGATATTGCTAAGGAAATTGTTTGTGGTCCAGAAGTGATTTCAGTACAGACCAAGAAACTTGAATAAAATGAAACATTTTTGTGGTATCTTTCGTCTTGTTTTCAGGTCTGAGTGTTAGAATTTAGTGAGAATAATAATTCAAGCATAGATATACTTACATTTTTGCAGGGAATCTGTTAGTTCTACTGGGGTGAAAAAAGTACCAAAGGTTAGAACTAATTTTCTGAAATGTGTGGGCATTGTGTATTAGGTAATCGCTACATATATGCTCGGAAGTTGTTTAACTGTAACTTTGGGGGGAAAAAATATTTTAATCTTACTGGATAACAAAAATCACATTGCAAAATCGTGCAACTCTAAACTACTAAAATGCAACAGTGTATTGTGTAGAAAGCCAATGTGATTTAAAAACACAATGTTTGAATTGAAACCATCATGCAGTTGATCACAGGGATGATGTATCCACTTTAGGAAGACATTTATAACATACTATTTATAGTATGACACTTTGTCTTTAGTCCCAATCAGTCCCTGCTTAATAACTTTCACTGAGCAAACTGAGGCAGTGGAAGTGGTTTTATGTTTGCCTTCTGGCACGTTTGCTTATTAGAACCCCGCAGGGCGTTTGACACTTTCTGTAGATTGCTGACGTTCTGCATTTGAGGTCAACAAAAACAACGCAAGTTCCCTTTACATGTTAATAGCATGGCTTAATTGGACTGCAATTAACATGCACCATCTTGTTATCTCTTGAGTTGAATGTGCAATTATCTTGAGTACAAAATAAAAAAGTCAAGTGGATAATTGAAAGCAGCAGTCCAAATTGTATCAACACAAGTATTTGGTTGAATCATAAATTGTTTGCATTAAATAAGTGATGTTCTGTATTGTGCAAATATCCTTTAACTGTACATTTACAAAATAGAGACATGTTTTGTCAAAATAAATTACTAACACTGTATTTTTTTATTTTTTTATTTAGACTTTATAAAGGATTAACATGAAAGCACAGGATCCATATCTAAGGTTAATGAAAGAAAAGTTAAGTTAGTGCTCCATGAACATTCCCCTGTGTCTCGTTACAACATTATTTGATTTCACTTTTATGTGTAAAACTAATACAAAGTGAAAGCAAAAGAGTGAGACACAGACCTGTGTGGTTTGCATGTTCTCCTCCGGTTTCACCTACCATTACCACTATATTAAAAAAAAAACCCACACCTTTCACCCTCCACGGGCGGTTTTCCCTCTCTAAGCTCAAGTATCTTTGCTGTTCCAAGCACTGCACATTTCTGGACCGAGATTTCCAAGGTTGTTCCAGGGATCTGCTGTAACCACTCCTCCAGTGGTTCTTCCACACATAGCATCAGAAGACACAAAAGCATCCTGTAACGATCATCGAAAAAAGTAAAGTGTTAAAGGAGCAATATGTAATATTTGCATGTCAAGTCATCATTAAATGACCCGAATATTTCAAAAGGCGTTATTAAATCATACTCTTTTCGAATTCATCTTTAACTGATAACAGTAGTTCAGCCGAGATATTTGATTATCAAAATTAGTTTTACGACCCGTAAAAGTTGTTATTGTTTTGATTTTGATGTCCTACCCTCCGCCGTTTTGCCAATCAGGAAGTGTCATGTAAGTCCGTGATCGGGTTGCCAGAACTCCGCGCGGCTCATTAATCTCAGAGGTAAAATAACATGTGGCGCAGAACTAAAAAAGGTCTTGTTATGACTCTCAAATCATTAATGACAAAACAAAGACTAAAACGAGGATTTATATTGGGATGCCTTTTGAACAATTGAGACAGCTGATAAAAGTTCACGTGTGATGCAGAATTTTCTAGTTTTACTCCGTTCTTCACAGTGTCTCATTCGTGTGAATCGGTGGCCTAGTGGTCTAAACTGTGCGCTTACGATGCAGGAACCCGGGTTCGATCCCGGGCTATGCCTTTTTATATTTATTGCATGTTATCACATTCTATGACAGATTGCTCTAAAAACGGTAAAAGATGAAGGTCAAGACGTTTTTTTGCAGATTATGGCTTAATTGTAAAAATAATCATTTAAGACCACATGTACCCCAATTAAAATAATGTTAGTCTCTTTTTGATGTGGGACTTTTACATGTTTGTCTAAAAAATAGGGAATAAATAAAATTGAAAGGTGATATCCTCTTGAGCAAACCCTGATGTTGATACGCTGAAGACATACGTTCCAACATCCATTCTTCCCACTCCTATTTTGGACACCAATTGCTTATTTATTTTGCATAAACTATGTATAATTACATTGATTTTATTTTGTTTTTGTTTTTTATCTCAAATGTCCAAATAATAATAATAAAAAAACATTAATCAAAACATTCATTTAGCATTAGCACGGCTGTCATGGCAATGTGAATGGAGACGGACAAACAACTGATAAAATAATTCCCTGTGTTTGCTGCTGGATTTGGTGTGAATCTGGCAACCTGAGTCAGGGAGAGTGGGAGAGGACTACAAAATATTGACTGTGACTGCAGTACCACTTTTGGCCAGATTTTTACATATTGCTCCTTTAAGACTTTTATGAATGTTTTGTAAATCAGAGTAATTGAATTTGATATGTGCCTAAAGAAAGTGCCATCTGATTAGTTTGTTTTGTTAATTTCAGTCCAAAAACTTAAATAAGAAGACACTTAATTTTGATATAATCCCATCAACATCAAATCAGCATCTGTTACCCGTTAGATCTATCCTCCCCATGAAGTCTACAGCGCTTTATCGCTCCAAACATGCTGTTATATAGTCTCCTATTTTTTGCTGTTGGTTTTGCTGAATAAACATTTGCTTCAGGCATTTAAACACAGTTAAGTGTTGGCGTTTGTGCTCTTAAAGATGCGGAAACCAATATCTCCTCTTTTACTGCAAATTAATATCTCCTCCAAATATCTGTTATCGGGCTCCATGACTTCTAATTATCATTATCGTCCCTTTGAAAATGTCGATACACTTCCTCTGGAGACTGAGCGCAGCGGCGTGGCGCTGGGGTCACAGGGAAAGGGCTACATTGGGAGTCTCCATTTGAGGTTTGATCAGTTTTTATTGGAAACTGGAGTTACCGTCTGATCCCAAGGTAATATACATAATATTGTGTTGTGACCAGTGTTGGAAGTTACTTTTTAAAAATAACTTTTCTCGTTATTTGTTACCTTTCAAAAGGAACCTGTTACTTAACTTAGTTGCTCTCTAAAGAAAGTAGCTTTTCTTGTTACTTTTGTGTTACTGTTATCCACTACTACTATGCTACCCACTAAAAGCTGTGAAACCATAGACTGTCTCTGACTTTGCATCGAAACTGGATGCTACACACGGTCCGGTGTGAACGCCCCACAACGCTCTGCACCAAAAGTGAAGCTGGGAAACACTGACATAGTTGATACGCAAAACGAAGCTGCTGCTGCAGAGTCCAAGACACGAAACGTTTG